GGGGGGGTAGTTCCTCTTCTATTATCCGATTTGAGAACGCCTTCCATCAGTTAATGTCGAATTTCGAAACTTTTACCATAAAACGCTTCTATAAAGTACCCCGGGATGTGGACTTCAGCACAAAATTCGACCGACGTTCGTCATCTACATGGCTAAGAGGCAAATATACCGAGTTTGAACCGAATCGGGAATTTACACCTACCTAAGTCTCCTTGTAGGGGACCATCCAGAACGCGCGTACGTTTTTCTCACATTCGTTCCGCTAAAGCTTGGCGCCTGCGATACTTGGGGTAGGCCACCCCGCAGTACTCCAATGCCTTGAAGGCGAGATGTTGCCTACCTAGCAGGGGTTATGAGAGGTAGCGGAGGCTGATCTTGGCAGATTTGTGTTCGCGAATGACGGACGTACTTTCTGGATGATCCGTACGAACCGAGCGACTCGCCCGCCGTCGAAATGTGATACAGCATGACTACCGAAGAGAGCGGGGTGAATCAGAAACCTGGTGTAAAGAGTCAGGTTGCGCATGTGGCTCTAACAATGATTTCTTTGTTCAGGTTCGTGGCTGCAGGACCCGACTCGCGTCGCGAGGAGGTCAGTGACCAGGTCAACAACCGCCGCGGCTCGTACTCTTACATCGACGACAAGGGCGTGCAGCAGACCGTGGAGTACATCGCCGGGCCGGGTATCGGCTACCGCATCATCAACAAGCACAAGGGCGTTGTGATCCCGCCCACGTACGCCACCTCGTACCCACCCTTCTCCTCCTCACCCTTCCCCGTGTCACCCACCCTGCCCACGTTCACCCCCACGGCGGGCTTCCCCTCGTCCTCCTTCAGCCCCTTCCCCTCGCCGTTCCCCACCGCGTTCCCTTCGCCGTTCCCCGAGACGATACCACCCTCCGCGTTCCCGCCGCCATTCTCCTCCATTTCGCCATCCGTCTTCCCGTCGAGCACGGGCCGACCTGGGGGCAGCGGCTCCGGGCGACCAGGCTCCGGGCGTCCGGGTGGGTCTGGCCGTCCGGGTGGCTCCGGGTACTCCGGCTCCAGCAAACCTGGTGGCTCTGGGTATCCGGGCTCCGGGTCCTCGACGACTGGGCGGCCCTCGGGGCGGCCCAACAACCAGTACATCCCTCCGAGGCCACCGCCGACCAGCGCACCCTCCATCCCGCCGCCCTTCGGAGACGTGGACGACCCCTTCTCCGAGCTCTTCCCCGGCGAGACGGGCACACCGCTCAGACCAGGCTCTGGCGCTGGGACCGGCTACGGAGGCTCCTCGTCGTCCGGAGGGTCCGGGTCGTCGTCTGGGGGATCATCGCCGTCCCCCGGGGGAGGTGGCAGCAGGCCCGGATCCGTGCGCCCCGTGAAGAAGCCAAAGCCCTCTGTGTCCATAGACACGGGCGAGGACGACGATGATTTCTTTCCCACGTTTCCTCAGCAGAGCGGTGGGTCCGGCTCGACAAGACCTTCCGTAACGACCTCTGGGTTCCCGACGACCACGACTAGCACGTCCACGAGCACTGCCTCCGGCGGTGGCGACGACGACAACACAATCGACGGCCTGTTTGGGGACGGCGGTGACGTGAACAGCACGCCCAGACCGACGCAGCGACCACGACCCACAACGGGGACTTTCAGGCCGCCCTCCTCGTCCACGTCATCCAGTGGCGGCGGCAGCAGCGGTGGAGCAGGCGGCAGTGGCGGTGGCGGTGATGACTTCCTGGACCTCTTCCCTACAGCCGGGCCCGGGTCCTCCCCTTCGCCCGGGTCGCCATCCTCGTCCCCAAGACCCACGAAGCGACCGCGTCCGCGTCCACGACCGAGGCCAACCTCGTCGCGCCCTACCACCGTGGACGACTTTGACTCGCTGTTCAACCCCACGCCCGTGTACACGGACCCGTCCGATATTCCGAGCGGCGGCTCCGGCTACGACTACAACCGGCCCAAGAAGCCCTTCAAGGGTAGCGGTGCGTCAGGGAACGGCGTCATCTACCCGACCACCATCAGGCCCGGCCGCCTGCCGACCCGCCCCACCGTGGGCGGCGGCGACGACTTCCTGTCCGAACTGGAAGGCGGAGGCGGAGTCTTCGGCGGCAGCGGCGGACAGTGGGCTGGGGGCCGGCCGGGCAGCTTCTGGCCCGCCGTCCCCTACGGCAACTGCTGCCCCGGGCCGCTCCGCCCGCATCGCTACCGGGACGAGCGCGACGACGGCGGCGTGTACCCGGGCCGGCCGTTCCCGCAGGGCGCCGTTGTCCGCGCGCACGTGCAGTCCGTCGACCTGATGCCGTTCGAGCCGCAGCACCGCGCCATGGACCCCGGCGAGGCCCTGGAGCGCTTCATCCGCCAGGAGCAGAGCCTGCGCGCGCACCGCCAGCGCAGCGTGGACCCCGCGGACGGCCACGGCGGCCCCGTGCACGCGCACGCCCAGCGCAGCGTGGACCCCGCCGAAGGACCAGCAGGTCCCGCGCCAGGCCAGCTCAAGGCCGACCCTGCCGCGCAGACCAACGGCACCACCACCACGGCCGCGGCCTCCAGCACCACGCCGGAGCCCGCCGCCGCCACGACGATCACATCGTGAAGGACTCGCCGCTGAGAGTGCCACGTTTAGTGAAACTGGAGGACGATAAAATTCTCTCAACGCTCGAAGCCGCGGGGGCCGCGTGTGGAGTGGGAAAAACCGTGAGATAACGTGTATGTGCGGGAAGCTCCTCGGAGCCCCCAGCAGCTAATCAGCACGCGTTCAAGACACTGTCCCTAATTTGCCGGGAGATGAGTGATGCTAGCGAGCGCTGCCTGTGGGACTGATGACGTGCCTCTCTGTCCATCACCCGGATCCTGTCGGATGTGGCCGCGGGTCGGATCTGGTCGGGTCGGCACTATTCTCTGTCAACCGACCACTTTGTTGACGTGCAATTTCGCCTGCGACTGAAGCCTTCTTATCGGCCTTGGACGGGGTCATTAACATGTCGTGTAACACAGGTCTTAATCCAACAGACGAGGAGTATACTCTAAAAACTACTGTCCTTGTTCTTTATTTAAACGCTACTTACACAAACTGCTGCCTAACGTTAATTATTGTGATAAGCCATCGACCCTTTGTGCCTTGAAAACGATCTGCAGAAGAGGATAATTCTTAGAGAGAAACGGAAACCAAATACAATTTTGTTTTCTCGCCATAATGGAAAAAAATCGTACCTGCACTGTAAACAGAGCGATATAACCCAAGGTTAAACGGCAGACGTCGCCGTCGCTCTGGTTGTTTTCTCTCATGTTTTATTATTTATTTAACCGCTTGATGCGACGATGTGATGTACGTTTGTAATGTGACAAAAAAAGTTACCATGAATACGATACTCAGAATAACGTGATGCGTGATAATCTCTATAGCCTAGTAACGAAAAAACGAACAACTGCCCACTGCTAAGTTGTCCACGAAATGTTACAAGCAGTGACATTAAATGATATTTTTACCAAGACAAGCTGTTTTGCATCATTCATGCCTGTCCTGTCCCCGCCCCTGCTCCCGCGCTCCGCTCGGCTCGGGTCTGGTATCTCGGGCGCAGCACCGCAGCCCAGTGACATCACGCGAGACGTAAGCGCAAGCGTGTCATGTAGCGAGCATCGGCTGCAACACCAAGTCATCCGTCCGTGGCAACTATCAGGCCGACCAGCAACGTAAACTGGAAAATTAAATGAAATGCCCATCGCATCCCGTAATAAAAGCTGAAGCTGCCTTCTCACGCTTTAATCCCGATCACAAAAGGCTGTTGGCGGTGCTCCCGACCGAGGTCATGCACAATATCGGCTAAAACCATAGCTAGAGGGGACAGGGGAGGGGGAGAGTGGAAAGGAGCGAGAGAGACAGACAGAGAGAGAAAGGGGTCTGTAGGTCAAAGGTCGACCCGCCTTGGCACACTCGCTTTAATGTTTGAGAGCGCGTTGAATACTTAACCGGGAGGCTTATAGTCCAGCTTACCTTTATGACCCCCGAGCTATTCGGAAGATCGGGGAAGCGGGTATCGACGACACACAGTCATCAGGAGGGGGACGAAGAAGGTGGGTAAAGGGGGGGGGGGGCATAAGGGTTAGTATAAGTGCAGGGCGTAGAAGGGGACTAGGTCCAGTCACCGGGTGTGCGGGCGGGGGCGGGGCGGGCCCAGCGGGCCGGGCCCGGGCAGAGCTCACACAGAGGAGCAATGTGGTTTTCCTTGAGAAGCTGCGACTGGCGCATCCAGAGGAAGCGTGACGCGGCGTGGCGTAGCGCGGCGCAGCGTCGCCTGCAGTCCTGCACCACTAGTGCCATCCCAGGCAGGCCGAGGAGGAGCACTGCGGAGCACTGCGGAGCACTGCGCCACCGTGCGGCGCGCTCCGCCTGCCGCCACCGGGGGGGAGTTTGATTGCCAAGGAAGCAACAACCATTCTGACATCTTGTTCTTCCTCGAATGTATTGCCCGGCGCCCGGCGTTGCGCCGGGCAGCTGCGAGAAATAACGCCGATCGTAAGGGGGAATGTTATTGGTCTTAATCCAATTTGTCGAGTGTGATGATTGGAAGTTTCAACGCGTGTCGAGTATTTGTTAAGAAAAAAACGCGGAGAGAGAGACGGAGGGAGGAAAAAAAGTGAAAAAAAAGTGATCGGTACAAGCAGGCGGCGCGTCGTGGGCTTTGTCAATCATGAGTTTGATACAATAAGAACGCCTGCCACCAGCTCCGTTCCGCGGGAAACTGCGCGCCTCCGCTAGGATTACACCTTTTTTCGAAATAACTGGGGAGCCGCAACAGAAAAGTACATACGTGCGCCTCGGGACAAACTACTTATGGCTCGACTTATGGTGTGCGTCCCAGCCCAGTCCAGGGCGACAAATCACTGCACATCGACACCTGGCTCTGTCGCGAGACCGCGAGGACGCCCTCGGGACGCGATCCTCCGCCGGGCGACGCCATCAGATAAACCAAACGAGACGACTTCGTTAAGCGAGGCGCCGCGCCCGTCACGCCGGTCGGGTTCTTCTTGTTCTCGATTGGACTTGAAAATGAACATTATATGGCGATTAGCCGTTTGTGTGCGTGTGCGTTGTGTGGAAGCTGCGGGCAGAAGAAGAGAGAGATAGGGGGAGGGAGGAGGGGGAGAATACGAGCGTATCGCAAAAAGATGCCGCCCCCTCCACGACAGAGCAGCCTCTCCGTCTCCGTAGTCCAGCAGCAGCGGGGAGCGTCTTTTTCAAACGCTTTGGCGCGAAATGATCCGACCAATCAGAAGCGAGCACAGACTCCAGCTTCCATTTCCTATATATACTAGTGTCGTTATCTGATGGTCAGTGAGGCGGAGCGTCGCAAAGAGCGAAGTGTAGCGAGCGGGTGTGCGTGCGTTGCGTGCGTGCGTGTGTGTGTGTGCCGGTGCGTGCGTGTGCTTCGAGGGGCCTGCAGGGGGAGCTCCAGAGTGTTAGTTCTGTTGTCGTCCGGACCGCGATCACCAGCTAGACCAGCACCTCCTTAGCTAGGACCGCACGAACCGCTGACGGCGCCATGAGGACTGTGAGTACACCTTTCGCCCAGGGACCCAGCCATTTTTCGGCAAGAGCTCGAAAGTGTGCAATATCGTCTACTCCAAAGGGTTTAGTCGCCACTGCACTGCCTGCCTGCCTCGGTAGTTAGCGTTGTTTCCTTCCTATTCACATAAAATTAATCCTAACATATTGGGTATGGGAGGCAGTAAGCAGCAAAGCCGTGCTGCACCGCACTCGCCCTGGAGCCATTGCTTGGCGGCCGAAAGCGGCCGGTGGGGTTGAGAGTGAGATGCTCGCTAGCCGGGCCCTAGCTCCCTCCGCACTCCTACCACACCCTAAGTGCGCATCATTGCATCGGACGCCCGGTGCAGGGCTCCGGTAAAGCAGTGTGCAACGAACAAGTGATCGCGAGGTCGGAGCGCCTTGCGGGTAGGCAACCCGATGTCAGCCGTGTGCCTGCGTTGCCCACCTCCTAGGGGCCCCATGAGGTCTGAGCCCCTTGTGGGTAGGCAACCCGACGCCACCCGTGTACCCGTGTTGCCTAGCTCCAAGGCGCCCTGCTCCTCCGCCCCGCCGCGGCTGCGCGCATCTCGGGTGGTCCGGATGTCTCCCGTGTCGTGTTACGCAGTGTTACGCTCGTGTGTGGGGCTCACATGCCAGTGATTATTGTTTGTGATGAACGACCGAGGCAGGCGTTTCCTCTGCGCGTCACCGCTCTGCTATGCGGTGGCGTGGCGACGCGGCGGAGGGCGCCAATCACAAATGGGAGCGAAGCGTCGCGGGTGCGGGCTCCGTGCCAAGAGATGCGTGTTGACGCGGCAGACCACCTTAACGACCGTCGCGATGCTCGCCGTACCTGCGGGGGGCGCGCTACTATATGCACGTGGACCGGTCCATTTGTACAGCAGACGGAAAGGAAATCGCGCGCATCCAGGAGGACGCGTCCGGCCCGCGCGTCCAACTATGGTCTGGCGGCCGGTCGGTGCATGGCTATGGCTGTGCTGCCCCCGCTCATCGCCCTTGGGATGGCATCGTTTGAACTTGGCCGTCGCGGCGGCGGCGAAAAGAAGCCATAGCTTGCACATACGACCGGCGATGTGACGAGGGGGAATGTGTAGTGTGTGCTCCCGGCGGCGGCGCTCGCGGAAGTCGATACTCTTGTCGTCGTCGATAATGCGGAGACGATCGGCAGAGCGTCTGCCGGGCCCGAGCTACTGTGGATGACGGCGTCGGCCAGGAGGTGGGAGTGGCGGGCGCGGGAGAGGTGAAGGTCACAGAGAGTACGGGCATCTTTTTTTTTTCTCTCTTTGGAGGGTCTCCTATACCTGTCTGAGCGCGACGGTCGGTCACTCTGCTTGCGACTCTCTAGGGCTTGGAAGGTCGAAACGTCGTCAACCATTTTCCTGCGCACGCCGCACGCCTTGAGCAAACGCTGCGGCGGCCGTCCAAACGGGCGAGTTTTTGATTGACGCTACATCATTTAGCTACTGTACCCCTCACCCGAAGCCGGTTCTGCTTCCAGGTCGCGGCGCTGTGCGCGGGGCTGTGCGTGGCACTGGCGGGCGCAGGACGCGTGCCCGACATCCCCGCGGGCCACCGGGCGCAGTACAGCCTGCAGCACGCGGACGGCAGCTTCAAGTACGGCTGGGACACGGGCCGCGGCGCCACGGCGCAGGTGGAGGGCGACGCGCGCAACGAGGTCCGCGGCAGCTACTCGGGCGGGCCCGTCAGCGTCTCCTACACGGCGGGCGTCAACGGCTACGTGCCCGTCATCGGGGCCGCCCCGATCGGCGCCGCACCGCCACCCCCCGCGCTACTTTTGCCGCCCCCACCACCGACATACGGTAAGTTCACCGGTTCGCCCCAGCGGGTACTTCGGTCTGAACAGTAAAAAATCAAATTTATGAATAATCGTTGAATTACTCCAAACTTTGCAAATTTAATAGGAAAGTTGTAATTGATCAAAAATTTTATTCAAAATGTTTATACAAGGTGCTGGAGCTCACGCTGGGGGAGTGAAGGGTGGCTGGTCCAGCGGCTGGAGTACACCCCAGGCCGCCCCCGGTGGGGCCCACGTCGGCCCCGCAGGACCTCTGCGCCCCGACGGGTCGTACAGCTTCTCGTACAGCACCGAGGACCAGTCGCGCCAGGAGTCCGCTGACGCCGCCAACAACGTGAGGGGCTCCTTCTCCTTCAAGGCCAAGGACGACGGTCGCACCCGCACGGTAAACTACCACGCCGGCGCCGGCACAGGCTTCGTAGCGCAGGGGCAGCACCTGCCCACGCCCCCGCCCGTCCCGCAGGGAGCTCCGCATGGAGCTCCGCATGGAGCTCCGCATGGAGCTCCGCAGGGAGGCTCCTGGGACAGTCAGTGGGCCGCCGAGCCTGAGCCCGAGCCCCAGCCCGAGCCGGCCGGGGACGCCACCTACTCATTCGGCTACCAGACGAAGGACGCCAGTCGGCTGGAGGTGTCCGACCCGCAGGGCAATGTCCAAGGCTCCTACGCATACGTCGGCCCCGACGGAGTATCGCGACGCGTGGACTACGAGGCTGGTGCCGGTAAGGGCTTCGTCGCGAAGGGCGACCATCTGCCCAAGGACGGCGATGTCCCCGCACCCGGAGGGCTGACGAGCTCCTGGCAGACGGGCACCGGGCAGCAGGCGGGAGACGACGGCGGCTGGCAGCAGACGGCTGACCACGGCAGCTGGCAGCAAACGGCTGACGAGGGCAACTGGCAGCAGACGGAGGACCAGGGCAGCTGGCAGCAGACCGAGGACCAGGGCAGCTGGCAGCAGACCGAGGACCAGGGCAGCTGGCAGCAGACGGAGGACCAGGGCAACTGGCAGCAGAAGCTGCAGCCACAGCCGCAGCGCCCCCGACCCGCCGTAGAGCCGGCCGATGTCAAGAGCAGCCGTGGTGGCGACGGTTCGTACTCGTTCTCTTACAGCACCAAAGATCAGAGCCGCGAGGAACAGGGTGACGTCAAGGGGAACGTCAAGGGCAGCTTTTCGTTCGTGGCCAAGGACGACGGAAAACGCAGGAGGGTGGACTACCACGCTGGGGCAGCGACTGGCTTCGTGGCCAAGGGGGACCATCTCCCGAAGCCGCAGCCCAGTGAGGTGCAGCCGCAGCCCACCGCCAGCGAGCCGGTCGCCACTACCGAGACGCCCATCCTGCTCGACGACAAGATCGACCTGCGCCTGGGACTGGACGACAGCCAGCAGACCGTGGACGACAGCCAGCAGACCGGGGACGGCAGCGATGGCCTCGTACCCACCGGCGAACCAGCCGATGTCCAGAGCAGCAAGGGAAGTGACGGCTCCTACCAGTTCTCCTACAGTACCCCAGACCAGAGCCGCGAGGAGCAGGCCGACGCCAAGAACAACGTCAAGGGCAGCTTCTCTTTCGTCGCCCCAGACGGCGTGAACCGACGCGTCGACTACGAGGCCGGCGCTGGAAAGGGCTTCGTCGCAAAGGGGGACCACCTCCCCAAGGCAGAGGCCTCTGGCGCGGCCCCAGCCCCGGGCGGTGACGATCAGCAGACCCAGGTGCCGTGGACGTCGGACGACGACATCCAGCAGCAAACTCAGGGCCCCTGGAACGACGAGCATCAGACCCAGGGACCGGATGGGGACCACGGCAGTGGCGACGCCAGCTACTCCTACGCGTACGAGACGGACTCGAGCCGCAAGCAGGAGTCGGCCGACGCCCAGGGGAACGTGCAGGGCTCCTTCTCCTACAATGACGGCAGCGGCAGCCCCAAGACTGTCACGTACACGGCCCGCGCGGGCGAGGGCTTCAAGGCCAAGGGTGACCACCTGCCCAAACCCGGCCAGTTCTTGGCGGCCGCGGCGGCCGCAGGCGTCGGTGGCAGCGTGCACGGGGGCGCTTGGGGACGAGGCCGCGGACCTGGAGCACAAAGACCCGGCGTCGGCGTCAAGACCTCGGCACCCTGGCCTCGCGGTCCTGACGCGCAGAGGCCCAGCGTCGGCGTCAAGACCTCGGCACCCTGGCCTCACGGTCCTGACGCGCAAAGGCCCGGCGTGGGCGTCAACACCTGGCCCCAGGGCCTCAGGCCCCAGGTGTCGCCCGCCGCCGCCGCCGACCCGCACGGACCGGCTGGCGAGGTACGCGTCGGCGACGGCGTGGTGCGCACCTACCTTCCGCCCGGCGTCCCGGGCCACAAGGTGGGCTACGTGTACGAGGCCAAGTCCTAGGACGTCGCCTTTTGATCTAAAGACTTCCCCGCTGTGACCTCATAGCTGTACTTACAAGTGTATCTCGAATAAACTTACTGCCTAAGACAAGCAATAAACGTAAAGACATGTGTACCGACCTTCCTTCTTGCGAATTCTACCCGCAGCCCCGTGACCCTCCGCTAGAGACGAGCGCCTCCGCGGTATGCATCCCATCCTACGCGCCGATAGGTAGGCAGCCGTTCGAGCGCGGCCGGCAGCGCGCGGCCTACCGACAGGGCGCCCGCCTCCTCACCGTGCGCGGGGAATTTGCTTGCGGCCGGCAGCCAGGGCCCACAACTTGGGGAGAAAGCAAGACAAAGTAACAACGCAATGACAAAGAGCGCTTTTTATTTGCCCGGGGGGTCTTTGGAATTGATTGCGGGCGAGTGAAATAAAAGTACCACCGCGAAAACAAACACGGTGAAAGAGGGCTCGATGGAAATGGCGGGCGGGAGAGAGGCGCACCTGGGCCCCCAGTACAGATTCTTGACAAATTACACCGCATTTCGCTGGCAACGGGTAGAGAGGGGCGGGGCGGATGCCAGCGACCAGGAAGGCGGAGGACCTCCCCCTCCTCCGGGGCGCGGGCGAGGCGGGGCGGGGAGTGGGGCGGTGCGTACAGGGGTGGCGGAAGCGTATTCCAAAGGGGTGGCGGGTAGGGCCCACCCCCCGCCCCGGCGCCCCCGCTCACCCGCTCGCCCGACTTTCGGAGGGCGCACCGGGCGGGCCGGCCCAACCGGTCCCAGACAAGCCGCACCAAACCCAGCTCCGCCCGCGGCCCGGCCATCCCGGCCCAGCTCCATGCCGATAGCCGCGCTACACCCGTCTCCCTCGCTCCCTCGCGGCGCCTGCAGCCCGGGCCGGCGGTGCGACAAGGACGGGCCGGGAGCACCGCGCCGGCGGCAGTAGCGGCGGCCGCGGAGCTCGCCCGCGCGCGCGCGTAGTGTGAAGCGGGGCGGGGGCGGGGGGTGCGCGCTGCGCGCCGGCCCGAGAGAGAGGGGGGGCGACTCTACGATCGCATGGCTCCAACAGTCGGCTGTAGTACGGCATATGCCAGTGCGGGGCCCAGCAGGCCCAGGCAACGCCGCTCCGCCTCGCCCGCACAGTCGCTCCGCTCGGCTCGGCGCGCGCGTAGCGTAGCGGCGTGGCGAGGCGCTTCGCGTCGCGGTGAGGTTAGGCCCCTACTGACCGGCGCGGCACCGCGGACCACCCCCGTGCCGGCGTGAAGTGGAAAGGTTTTTCAAATAAAGACGCGAGTGTTTCGGACCGGATCGGCAAGCAGCCTCCGCGGTGCGCGGACCGACCCGGCGGCAGTGTTTGTGTTGTGAAGTGGTACCAGTGACGTGAGCGCGGTGGGCGGCAGTAAAGGATTATACCATGCTCCGGGACGGCCAGGTACGTTCATCCCCAGATGTACCTCCCCAAGCACATCCCAAAGCACACCACCTCGAGCACCGCCCCGAGCACCTCCCCGTCGAGGCCCCTGGGCGCGGCCAGCTGGCCGCCGGGCCGGCGCGGCGCGGCGGTCGGGGCCCATAAGCAGTGCGTCGTTACTCCCACTTCCGTCCGCGCCGCCGTCCCCTCTGGCGTCACCGTCGCGTAGGTGTCGGAGTTCATCGGAGGCCCTGACCCCCGCGGCGGGGGGGCAGCAGCAGGCCCCCAAGCCGGCAGCAGCGGCGGTCTCTTTTTCGAAACAACGCCGCGTTGATGAAATTGATGTCTGCGGGCGATAATTAAATCGCCGAGCAGAGATTAGCCTAGCAGCAATAGGATCCGACCGGTAATCGGGTCGGAATGGCATCTACGTGACCATCAGCGGGGAGGCGGAGCAGAGTGCGATGAGACCTCAATCGGGCGGGCCGCAGAGCGGCGGACCGTGGACTGGGCAGGGGGGAAAGGGGCAGGGGGGGGGGCTCAAGCCGGCCGGGGACAGATGAGGCTCGTTTGCACCCGATGGTGATGGTGAGCGGTGTCCGCGATACGCAGCGACACTCTTCTGGCTATCAATGTCTGAGACTGCTGGGCGGGCCGGGCCGGCCGGGCTGCGCGGTGCCGTTGGTATGGTGGGCCCAGAAGATGAGCGCTCCGAACCGCAAACGTGTCGTGACGCGTGTCTCGCGTGCGGGACCGACAGCGGCCGGGCACAGAAGAGTTAGGGGGCGCTCCGTCGATCAAATACGAGTCATTTGGCGTTGGCAACGTGGGACACTCGTTCCAGATGGCCACGCTGACCACGCGTGCTAGAGGGCGGGCGGGGGCGGGGCGGGGCCCGGCAGACCACAGCGAGAGCGACATGACATGGCATTCCAGTCGCGGTGGCTGACGCTGACGCCCGGCTGACGACACAATCGCCCGTCCGGGCTTTGCTTGGGTGGGTTGTTGCTTCTCCGAGCACGACGACGGCGCGAGGGCGCGCGGACTCGGATGACGTGAGCGTCGTTGCCCAGGACGGACGCTGCCGAGGACAACTTGAAGACGCGTCGCCGGATACCCTTTCGCCCTGCCGTGCGATTCAGAAGATCGTGCAAGAGGTTCTCTCGCCCTATGAATGCAACAAGGACGGAACTATACCAGGTGGCTGATTCACGCCGTGCACTTTCGTACTTACACTGCACCGCATGCACGCGGGCGGGCGGGTTTGCCTATGCTCGCAACGCACGGCTCCTTACGGCCCCGTGTGGGTAGGCAACCCACCCGCATGCGTGCATGCGGCACAGTAGAACGCCGAAAGTGCGCGGCGTGAATCAGCCACCTGGTACAGGAGGTATAGGAGATCCTCTCTTGAACGATCTCCTGAATCACACGGCTGCGCGCCTCGCCGTCGTCGTCGTCGCGAAGGCCCCGGGCGCGGTGTTGGAGAGAGAGCTCTGGCCGGCGGCAGGGGAGGTTGTTGTCCCGTCAGACATGAGCGGGACAGGCCTCGGGCAGGCCGGCGGCAGGCAGGCCGCTCGTGTCGCGTCGATAAGGCCGGCTGTGATGTCATCGCCAGCGATAATGACCACGGCGAGTACGGAGAAGAGCGCGGAGCCCGGGCAGGACGCGCGCCCTCGGCCGCGCCCGGAGGGGAGGGGCCGGAAGGAGGGACGAGCGGGGCTAGTAGGAAGCCGGCGGGGGGGAAGTTTGACGGAGGCTGGGCATGGGAGAGGCGAGGCCCCCTTCGTGCTCGTAGCCCTTCACTACTCAAACAGCAGACCACTGCTCCGCTCAGCCACGCCACGACCCGCGCCACGCCCCACCCCACCCCACCCCACTTCGCTGGACCCGCTCACCCCGTCAGTGTCCGCCGTCCCCTGTCCCCGGCCCCGCGCGGCCGCGGGGAGGGCTTGCTCGAAGCCGGGTCACCAGGGCGACGTGAATCTTGGATGGGAAGGAAGCTTGTTGAGGTTACGACCACGGTGACGGTGGCACCGCCGCCGCTGCCAGCAGCGAGAGCGCCACTCCGCCACGCCACACGGCCCTCAAGTAGGCGACCGCTGTCCGTGCCGGACCGTCCCCCTCGCGCTGGTGATCGTTCAGCCCACTCAGAGACCCAGAGCCCGGGCGCGGTGGGGCGGGCGGGGCGGGCCAAGAGCTCAATTATAGCAGCGTGCCCCTCTGGAGTGCTGTCGCGGGCCCCGCAGCCCCGGCCGCCGTGCCGGGGGGCCGTAGTGGAAATGGCATCGCCCTCTGCTTGGGCAAGAGGGGGAGGTGGAGAGGGAGGGTCGGTAGGGAGCTCCGACATTGTTTACTTAAGTTACATGCCCGGCAGGCTGGGCAGGCTGCGGTTGGGCTCACAGCAGGTTGGCCGGCAGTGCTGGGACCGGCCCTGTGGTCCGCACCACTGGCTGCTCTGTACTTTGGCAGCTGCAGCGGCGGGAGCGGCAAGCAAGGGAGGGAGCTGGCGCAGCTGGTGGCCGCGAGGACGGCGGCGGGGACGTTTGGGTGAATAACGTGGACTGGGCTAATTAATCGCCCGTCGGCCCCGCCGGGTATTGACTCGCCCCCCGAACACAAGCGTGCGTGTGCATGTGTGTGTGTGCATGTGTTTATAACCTTCACGTGTGTCGTGTTGTACGCGCGGGTCAGGTTCGAGGCTGTGACTGCGGCTGCGGGTCGCGCGGGGTCGCGGCGCACCGCGGGGCCGCGTCGAAGGGTCATGAGCGGTCACGAGCACGGCCGCAGCAAACCACCTGGCCCAAAGCAAGTGTTGTTTTTTCTGATCCGCCTGCCTCTCTCTCTACGACCCGGGCCATCGACTGCCATCCGCCCCACCCCACCCCACCCCACCGCACCGTCGTCCCCCGCTACTACACCATGCTTCGTGCCCACCCGACCCGACCGGCGGCGACGTGCGTGGTGCGGAGACATTCCATTCTATGGACGAGAGCGAGTAGAGGCGGAGCAGAGCAACGTGGCGTTGGTGGCCGGGGCGGTGCGGGGCAGGGCGGGGCGGGGGACAGACGTGCACGGCCGGCCTGCGTCATTGCACTGCGAGAAAACGGGCCTTTCATAGGCAGAGCAAGAGCGAGGGAGGCTGGGATGGGAGAGAGCGAAAGAGAGGCAGAGAGACAGAAAGAGGAGAGAGACTCAGACAGTAGTAGCGCAGGGACAGAGCCCCACAATAATCACAGATCCTGGCCAAGATGGGAGATAATTAAAAGAATAAAACAGAGAGCGCGGCACTGTACTATTTTCGCGAGTTCATGCATCAGCTTTTCTGCACGGCATGCCGCCGCCTGCATTGTGCTGCTGCCGGCTGCTGCTGCTGCTATAGGCACTGTGATGCTGATGGTATAGCAGCGCACCATCCACGACATGCGACCGCACGAGCACACCCGGCGCGGGGGTTGGCCGTTGTCTCGAACCCCGTGGCGGTAGGCAAACCCGGCGCGCCCCGGTGCGTGGCGGTGCGTAGCCGGTGCCTCGGCCGGTGCAGCGAGGCAGAGTGTTCGGAGGTCTAGTCTCGCCGCCCGCGCACATTGAACCGAACGGGTACGGCGGCTCGCGTGGGGGCGTGGGAGACCCTGGGAGCCGCACGTGCGGCCGCACGTGGGAGGAAACGTATAAAGCTCACTCTATTAAAAGAAAAACTGCAATTAACAACAGTTCAAAACTGTTAATTGTAAACGCCATTTAGTTCTAATGAAAATTAAAATATGTTTAGTTGTAGTATGAAAGATACGAAAGACACTACAAGTACATAGTTTTCAACTATACGTTGGAAATGCAACAACAGAATTTATTTCAATATTGGACGTCGTGTTTTCCCTGCAGTGCTGATAGCGGCCGCGCTTGCGTCACCGTTCAATTGTTGTGCGTTTGAAAGGGGACTCGCTGCTGCTGCCTCACCACGTGCCCGGAACAAGCCATAAAGGAATGACGCTCGGTCGGTTCGGTCCGTCCGAGTTCGTTTTATTTTAATCGCATTATTCCCGGTTCGACAGCGACACGTATACAGCGTCCAGGAGGCGTCTGTCACAAAAGCGTCCATGTGCCGCTGCGCGCGAGTTTGTGGGGATGGCGGGGGGGGGGAGAGTCTGTCGGGGCTGCCAACCCGATCCCAACCCCTTTCCTCTCCTCCCCTCTGCTCCTGCTGCCGCTTCCGCTGCCACAGTCGTCCGCTGCATCCCCCGGCCCTGGTAGTCCTCGTGGTCCTGATGGTCGTGGTGGTCCTGGTGGCCCTGGTGGCCCTGGTGGCTCTGGTGTCGGGGTTTGGGGGGGAATATAGAATTATCGAGCCACTCGGGATTGTGTCCCGTGGTGTGTCCCGCCCGGGGTCCCGCCGCACGAACCCCCTCTCGCCTCTTCTTCTCCCCCGCCGCAGCCGGCTGCACTGCTTGTGGGGGGAGGAGGCGGGGGGAATGGG